GACCCCAAGACCCCAGAATTCACTAAACAGGCAGCCCTTAGCCTCCTTCCAGAATCTGAGTCAGTGATGCAAAGGGGTCAGATGTGAACCTCTAAACCCGAGGGGGCTGCTCTCTCTGGGGCTGTGGACAGAGCTGGGGCAAGTGAGTGGGGTGCACAGGAGGCCCCATGGTGGGATGGGGGAAGAGGATTTAGAAAAGAAGAGGGGTAGGCTGAGTTGGGAGTCAGGAGCCTGCTCTCCAGAAGCTGCCATGCTCTTGGGCAGAATGCCATGGTGTCTGAGAATTCTAAGTTCCAACAGAGTTTTCTAGCCTCTGGTTCCTCTGAGGAACTTAATAGGACATTGCCTGCAGGATGGCGGGCTGAATGCAGGTCACCTGAGTTAGCCCAGGTAAGGGAGGAGACACTTGTAGGACGTCCTGGATGAGGATGGGGGCAGGAACAAAAGGACAGCAGTCCTCTCCCCCAATAAAGAGGAATGAAAAATGGGTATTTAGCATATGAGTTTCCCAAATTACTGAAAGAGGGACTGATTCAACAAATGCGGGAGAAGGCTGCCCTCTCTCCTCCCACCCAACTCCCCAGAGTGAACCATGGTCTCCGGCAGAAAAGGAAATCCATTTTGAATTTGCCGTCCACAGTCATTTGGTATGGACTGTTGCTTTGCACATATCTTTCTACTTTGTCTTACTGAACGTGTTTTTGTAAAGAGGGTAAATTATATTTATTTAGCCGCTTTTAGCTCGATTATAACTTTTATTTAAAAGTTAAATTGCTAAATATTTTTTAACAATAGGGTACGTAGGTCTCCATCTGTATTCTTGTCTGGGAACACGCATATAAGGGGCAGCCTGACGCTTACAACAGCCCTGTGAGGGAGGGGCTGTTGTTAAGTCCATTTCACAGATGGAGAAACTGAGAGTGGCTTAATATGTGATAGTCACATGTAGTTACCACCAACTATGTGCTAGGAACTGGGGATGTAAGGGTGAATGAGAGGGAAAAAAATGGTAGCCCCTTGTTTATCTTTATTTTTTATTTTTTTTAAAGATTTTTATTAATTGGGGGAAGGGGAACAGACAGTTGCTGTCCTTTTGTTCTTCAATCTAGTTGTGGAGGATGTTGCTTCACTGGCCCAAGTTGGCACCATCATTGCGCTCTTCCCGGGCCAGGCAGACCAGTTGCTAGCTTCTGGACGTCCACTCATGGTGGCTGCTGGCTGCTCACGCCAGCTGCTGGTTAGACACACGGTAGCCCATAGCAACCCACTGCAGAGAACTGGGGCTCTCTGGTGTCCCAAGCCAGCTCTTAACCAACGCGCCACTCGGCTGGCCCGCCCCTTGTTTATCTTTAAATGGGGCAGTTAGGACCGGTCAAGTGGCTCGTTGGTTAAGAACTGGCTTGGGACACCAGCTCTGAGCAGCAGGGCAGCCGATTCGGATCCCACATGGGCCAGTGACGCTGTGCCCTCTACAGCTAAGATGGTGAACAATAGCTCAACCTGGAGCTGGGCTGCCGTGAGTGGCCGGCGACAGCATAGGCTGCGGTGGGGCTGCAGAGGGCTGCCGTAAGCTACCGTGAGTGGCCGGCAGCCAGTGTGATCTGCCGTGAGCCGCCATGAGCAGCTGTCCAATGGCCGACGACCAATCTGCCTCACCTGGGAAGAGCACAATGATCACAATACCAACATGGGCCAGTGAAGCAACGTCCTCCACAACTAGACTGAAGAACAGAAGGACAGCAACTTGTCTGTTCCCCTTCCTCAATTCCCCAATTTAAAAAAAAAGTCTTAAAAAATAATAAATAAATGGGGCAATTATACATCCTGGATTATTTGGGACAGTCCATGTACACCTGTTGACCCAACATAATTAATAGCTCCCTCTTTCACTCTCAAGTGCCATGGTTTGGACAATAAACTATACCATGGCCCTACTTATAGACCTCACTATATGATAGGAGACAGACATTAATCAAAGAATTACACAGGCAAGTTAATAACTACAGTTGTGATAAATACGAAGAAAATGATGTAGGGAAAGCAGATATGGAGATTTGTCATCTCTAAGGAGATGACACTGAAGGAATAGTAAGTGACAATTAGGATGGGGCAAGTGAGGGGGTGAGGATTCTAGCCTTGGGAACATCAAGGGGGAAATGAAAATTCTGCAATGTGTTTTAATCTTGTCCTTGCTATAATCATCATTTAATTTGACTTCTTTCATTGTTGATACAAAAAAAAATGTTTTTTGCTAACTACAAGAGAATCTGGAGAGTTTTTATACTGGCTGAATTAATCATAACAAGATCAAAGAAAGGCAGTTGATGAGTTAAATATTTTTAAATGTTCCTAAAACACACAGGGAGTAAATCTAGTTTAATTCCCTATCAAAAAAGTACACAAGTAACACAATCCCAAGATTAAAGGCAACAGGACAATTGTCCATTGATGTTTCAGTAAATGCTCTTAAGGGCATGTGTCAATTTTTGGCTGACAAGACACAGAATACATAAAATTCTAACAATGGAAGTCTTCACCCCACCTGGCTAATAATTATAGTCTTAGTACCATTAAGGATGTGCAATTAGTACCGATAAGGTACTGATGTGCAAATATTTACAAAAGGCTAACTTGTAATTTTAAAGCTCAAGTACAACGTTCCTGAATTTTTTTTTTAAGATTTTTTTTTTAATTGGGAAATTGGGGGGATGGGGAATTGGGAAGGGGAACAGACACGTTGCTGTCATTTTGTTCTTCAGTCTAGTTGTGGAGGACGT